GAAGCTAGAGATAAAGATGGAGGCACTGAACATTATGATGAAGACATCTATGGTGGTTTTGCTTGTGTGTTTCATTTTTACCATGTTAATGTTCAGTATGAAATGGATTTGTAAGGTGCTTTATGTACTTGATGTATGTTTGAAAGCAATGAAATCATGTTTATGAAATTTATGAAATTTGTATATTTTTTTTACTGCAACATGAAAATGCATGTAAATGCATTAAAAATTATTCAAGCACAAACCATGCTGAGCTTAATTGGAAAAAAATCAAAAAATTCTGAATTTTTTTTACTACATTCTAATGCAAAATATACAACCAAGATTAAAATGGTTCTAACACAAACAAATCGATTGTATACAAAATAAAAATGGTAACCCTGTTAAGTTGATTTGCAAAACAAAAGGCCTCATTCCAAATCAATGCACTTGAAGCAATGGAACAAAAATGACAAAAAAAACTGAGATTAACAATACTACGTGAGGTTGGAAGACATACATCACACTCACCCACACTTATTACAATTATGGCCTCGCACAGAGGGTCCGAATAAATAATATACAATCCCAAATGAATAATACAGTCTGAATAAGTACAAAACCCTAATTAATTTACAAATTTAACTAGGAAAGTAATAAATTGGCATGCAAGCCAGGGACTGCCTCAAATCTGCTCCGGATGATGAATGATGCATGCACCGGTCGCCTTGTGCGGAGAATCCCTCGCGATGCCCCGGTTTGCCTCTGTTTGCAATTGTTCTTGGAATGCGTGCCAAGCTCCGGAAGACTGTCGATTTCTGATTTGCTGCAACAGAGAGCAACAAAGGGGCATGGCAAAGTATTTTCACATATGTATGCATGACTACTCTTCAGGGAGTGTAGTCCTCGGTCCTCGTGCCACCAATCACGCATATCGATGCATGATGGCCAAGGAGTCGAATTGCACGACTCAATATGAAATGAATGCACATATAAACACAACAAGACCTAAACTCCATCATGGATAATCCGGAGTGTCGGTGACCGGGAATTGAGACACGTTCCGTCACTCGTAGTACGAAACGTCCCTCGTTTCCCGTGCTCGGGCTAACTCCTATCCCAAACCGAGCGCTCAATCGATGACGTCTGAGTCTTAAGGACGGTAAAAAATGGGGTGTCTACACCTAGCCAACTTAGTCAAGTTTGCAAAGTGGAAATAACAAGGGTTATGCCCAGTTAATGGATCGAGCTAAGTAAAATAGACAAAGCAAAATAAGCCTAGCTCAGCTTCAACTGGGTTACAAACCATTCCCAATTCGACCATGAAACAGAACCGGCTCAGGTCTTTATCTCAGTTATTGATCATATAGCTCGATTTTTGATCAAATGCATTTTTAGTTCGGTTGAGTGCAAGCCTAAAGGTCGCAAACAGTTGCCTAGTTCGATCATAGCACGATTTGGGATCAACAAAACACAGTTCTAGACTAGTTCTTAGTCCCAATCTGTGTATTTCCAAGTTTACGCATGGTGTTTCGAGGTTTTGTATATTGGTTCGGACCTCAGTGTTTATAAGTACATATTTGGTAACTGAGAGACTATTCTTAGAAATAAGCAGAAATAGTTACAAGGATGAAGAACTTACTGATTTGGGAATGAAATTCGAATCCAATCTAATGAAACAAACGCTGGCAGTGTTGAAGAAAGCAGGAGATGCGTAGGCCCAGTGTTGAGCGCAGGAAGATTAGGGGTTGAAGATTGGGAGCTTAGGCTCCGTTTGTTTTCAAAGGTAGAACGAAGGGGATTGATAGTGAAGGGATTAATAGTGAGGGGATTGTTAGTGAGGGGATTGATAGTAAAGGGATTAAGTAAAATTGTGTTTGTTTTGATGATAGTTGTTAATGTAGGGATTGTTAAATTATTTTTATATAAAATAATAAAATAAATAAAAAAATACAAAAACATTAAACATTAATGTTTTAAAAAAAATACCCAACATGTAAAAAATTTTAAAAAAATAAAAATAAAATAAAAAATTTCTAGAAAAAAATAAAACAAATAAAATAATGATTTTTACTTAACAAAAAATACAAAAAATTAAATATTAATGTTCAAAAAGAAAAAAGTCCGACATGTAAAAAATAAAATAAAAAAAAATTTTTTAGTCCGCTGGACTATTTTTCTAATACCAAGTCTTGGAGGTCCATCCGAATTCCCTTGGGGAGGCCCATCCTAATCTGGAGCTCACTATCAATCCCCTCCCCATCTCTCAAAACAAACACAATAGTAATGGGTCCCACTTTACTACCAATCCCAATCCCCCCTCTAACTCTCCAAACAAACGGGGCCTTAGAGGAACGAGGGCTAGCAAGGGAGAAGATGAACAGTAGAGGCCTTTGAAAAAAGTGAAGCTATATAGTTGAGGCATAATAGGCGAGACTGTTAAATTTTGTAGTACAAGACGGCTGTAACAGATGTACTTGACTAGTGGGGGCATGCCACATGTCCAAAGGAATAAATAACGTTTCAGACGTGCTTGAGTAGTGGAGCGACGTGCAGAGCAACTGACAAGACGTTTCTAGACTGAACGAATTGAGAGCCTGGGTAATATTGAGCTCGGTTGGGGGCCAGTACATCTAGCTCGGCTGGAGAAGACTAATCTCAATCATGCATTGTAAATGGAATTAAGGGGTAATTGAGAGGGCAATTTATGTGGAAATGAGACACCATCCTTAGAAATAAGCAGAAATAGTTACAAGGATGAAGAACTTACCGATTTGGGAATGAAATTTGAATCCAATCTAATGAAACAAACGCTGACAGTGTTAAAGAAAGCAGGAGATGCGTAAGCCCAGTCTTGAGCGTAGGAAGATTAGGGGTTGAGGATTGGAAGCCTAGGAAAACGAGGGTTTGCAAAAGGGAAGATGAACAGTAGAGGCCTTTCAAAAAAGTGAAGCTATATAGTTGAGGCATAATAGGCTGGACTGTTCAAATTTTGTGGTACATGACGGCTGTAACAGATGTACTTGACTAGTGGGGGCATGCCACGTGTCCAAAGGAATAAATAACGTTTCAGACGTGCTTAAGTAGTGGAGCGACGTGCAGAGCAACTGACAAGACATTTCTAGACTGAACGAATTGGGAGCCCGGGTAATATTGAGCTCAGTTGGGGGCCAATACATCTAGCTCGGCTGGAGAAGACTAATTCCAATCATGCATTGTAGATGGAATTAAGGGGCAATTGAGAGGGCAATTTATGTGGAAATTAGGCCAAGCTAAGACCATCTGTTGAATGGACTGAGCTAGGTACACACTCTTGGTCATTGGGCCGCGTTGTGGGCAGAAATGAGAATGGAGTAAGCTCGGTCGTGGACTGGACGGATATTCAGCCCAAGGCTTGGAAGGAAGTGGTTATGTTTGACCCAAGCAGGACCGGGGTACCGAACTGGTTATCTCGGTTGAATATTCCTAGTTCTGTCTGGCATGGGGCAAGGCCATGCTAGTTCGGTTGAGCTGTTACTGAGCCGAGGTAAGGAGGTTCAAGCCATCTCACTTGGTTGGTAGTAAGTAGGGTATTATCAGGATAGGTATTATCCTTGGAAGTATGATCCCTAGGAGGACTTTTATAAAGAGGATTGGAGTCCTACTAAGATTGTGCCATGCAAAATCTATACAAGCTCATGACAGGACCTATGTACAGGTATCACAATTCTTACTCTAAAATACACAGAGCTTATTGTCTATTGTCTAGTTGCTGACTTAGGCATCAGAGGAGTTTCTGGCACACACCCATCGGCTAGCTCACGTTTATGCTTTCACGTAGCAAAGCGACGACGTTTGGAGGAGTGCAAACTTGATCAACAGGATTATACGAGAAGATTATTTCGTGCTCGTATAGGTACAGATTTTTATGTGATTCCCTTAATATAAGGTACATTTATGGGACCATAGTCCGATTCCAATATCAATACAAAGTTTAAAAACAACAACAATGGAGACAGTGTAGAAGACACAAGATATTGGACCAAAACAGCTCCCACCAAAACTATAGAGTGCAGCCCAAAAAACAGTCCTTCGAAGCAGAACCAAACAAAGCTTTGAACCTCACGGTAGAGACAACAACCAAACGGATCACCAAGACTTGCACTGTCTTTACCACACAACACTGCTTCAATGAACCCACCGAAAAATAGATATAATATATATATATATATACACTTGCCAATAAACAATAAAAAGTGTATTGTTGTCCTTTGGACTTCCAATGAGACAAATAAATATACTTGCCACCAAAGCATGCCAAAGGCTTTATACAATACTCAAATGTAAAGCTGTCAACAAAGTTTAACTAATACCAAACTCAATTAAATATTTTTTGGGTAAACTAATTGAGTCTTACACTTCACTAAGGATGTATACCTAACAATTAATTTATAATGCATGCCATCAATACCACTAGTATCTCTCAGCTTTTTCTCTTCAATAAACAATTCATTTTTCTGTCACAAGGGTCTTCAAAGAGTTTCCACCACCTGTGACTCCCACACAAAATGACAAACAATAACAAGGAATGTCACATTCTCTCCATCAATGAGTAATAAAATGCACTTCGAAAATGAAGAGAGAGAGAGAGAGAGAGAGAGGGTAAATTTTGGTAAACATTTTGAATATCATCCACAAGCTTGTGGGAGATAACCGCTTCGGTGATCACTAATCTTATAGTTAGGTCATTGGAAGGTTTGACACTATAGTTGTAAGATTGTGCTTGGATCATTGATTTGTATAGAGATTTGAAAGAGAAAGGGAAAAGGTGAGGCAAATGTAAATGAAATATATAAGTAAAAAAAATTTATCCATTTCCCTTTCCCTTTCCCTTTCTTTCCCTTTCCAAATCTATGATCCAAACATATCAGAAATGTTGTCGGAGAAATTACTAATACTATAATCTCTGAAGATATAAATGAATGAGAAATTACCAGGCCACGGAGATAGCTTTCAACCTTGCCTCAACAGTTGGAGTTAATCTAATCTTTTGTGAATTGAGCCATCAAATCCCCATCCCTTCTAAGTGGGACAAACACAGAAGCCAAATAATCTTGATGATCACTGCTCAAGTCTGATTCATGCCACTTTAGTGCACCCCACCATTCATTCTCTCCTTTGATTACCTTCAGATCTTTACTAGAAACTTTCATGGTAGAGAGCTTTACGAGTTTCGGGCAAAAAAAGATAAATATCCTTTCTAATTTTGGAGCGATGCATAGACCATTGGAGATGCTGACCAGTTTTGGTAGCTCAAGAAGTAAAATCTTCTTCAAGTTTGGGAGAAAATGACCAGATTTCGAGTCAGAATATTTAAGACCTACAAGGTTGCTGATCCTGGTGCAATTTTCAACTATGAGCTCTTCCAAATTTGAAAGATTTCGAAGCATGCCTACAGTGAAAACAGTAGTCAAACTGAGACATGTATGCCAGGCCAAAAACTTCAGACTGGACAAACAACCCTTCCCAACTGACCCTTGACAAATGCTCTCCATATTCTTCATGTAATGAATACTCAAGTATTGAAGTGACCCAAAGTACCATTTTTTCCTCATTAAAATATGAGTACTGTTCAGATTCATTACTATCATCTCCTTCACAATCTCCTTCTTGATAAAACTATTTAGCATCAATGATGGTCCGCAACTCATTACATTCCACCAAGAAACAAAATTTCAACTTATCCATATTTTGGAGCCCAAACTCAGATAGATTGTTAACAGTCCAATGGTGTTCTAGGGAAAAGGCATTGGCATGTTTGAGTACCTCAATAATTTCGATTGGAATCTCTTCACCATTTACGTACTTCAAGCCTTTCTCTGATTTCTCCAAATTGTTGAATTCCTCTTCAACCTCAAGTGGTAGACGAGACAGGAAACGTTCAACCTGATGACCAACTATAAATCTGAAGTGTGTTAAAGCTGGACATATCAATAACGGGCTGTTCTGAATGAGTTCTTCCAATAATTCAATAGTGGGCAAATACAATTCAAGAGTTCGCAACTCTCGTAAACTACACAAGTCATGTATAATAGTTTTTACTTCAACATCCCACCAATCCCCATCTGGATTCACATCAATGCGCAATTCATTCAATCGGGAGAGATTTGATATGCTTACTCTCTTGGTAGTTATTTACATATCTATAGAATGACACTTTCAGACAACTCAATTTAATTAGTTTCTCAATCTCCTTTGGTAGATATATAATCTCAGTCCCTTAAAGATCAATCACCTCAAGATTTGTAAGTTCTCCAATTTCAGGTGGTAGTTCTATTAAGAAATCACAATCTCTCAAAATTAATTTCTGGAGTGCATTTAACTTGGAAATAGATTGCGGCGAAGAGTTTACGCTAGTATATGACAAATCCAAAACATGGAGGGCAGACATGTCATGAAAGAATAGGAGAGGAGCATCCTCAAATTCTTTTCCTGCTAGCAAAATGATCTCCGAGGATTCCTTTCCACGTGAGTGTGGGAGCTTGTCTGTCATTTTAGTAATGAATTCCTTTCTTGAAAAAAGTGCCATGATGAGTCCCACTCCCAGTTCTAGTCCAACTATCTTTCTGTCGTTGTTCAACTGGTCTAAGTCCACAGATAATCCTCATCGTCGGCCAGTGGCTATAATACTCTCATCCTTTTGAAGGAGGTCGGATATACCTAATGTTGCCTCATATTGAGGCATTTGCATTGGCAACTTAGTTGCAGAAACATTCAATTTTTCCTCCCAAAATAATTTTGCATCTGACGCATATAAATTTTGTATTCCTTGGGCAGATTTTCTTATTTTCCTTGATTCATGGGAGTGCAATTTTTTGGGGTACTAGTGTCATGACCTGAACCCGCCCCTATGGATTAAGGTCATAACCAGCCAGTAATCAAGAGATTACTTATGGCCTCAAACCTGATTAGACATATTACGACAGAGTAAAAGGGCCAAAACAGAAGCAACTTAAAATTTTTGTTCATAGAGCTGTGCTTACATGGCACATCATAACATTTCACATATATTCGTTAATAACCCACATCAAAAGGACGTTAACATATAAGTTTTACCCAATATGATCATTCAAGTCATAGTCAGCCAAACCAAAACCTTATGTACATGGTGGGCTAACATTTTCACCAAAGTAACAACAGAAAGACAAAAGAAACAAACAAGTCTCGTGCGTGAGACGTTTGGGCTGACTCCACAAAACTTGACTTTTCTCACATAACTTCACCGAGGCTGGGTTTGAACATCTCTTTGCTCACCTACATATGAGAGTGAACGAAAGGCCAGTGAATAACATCAAATAAAGAAGATACATGACTAAAATTCGAAACAGATATATCAAACGACCTTAGGCCCATTCATCTTTCTATTGGTACATTAAACGGTTTCAAGCCCGAACATATCAAACAGCCTCTGGCCCACTTCGTCCTTAACAGACGGCCTCGGGCCCAATTCATTCATGTCCAATGGCCTTTGGCCTAATCATTCATGTCCAATGGCCTTTGGTACAATCAATCGTATCCAACGGCCTTTGGCCTAATCAATCATATCTGACGGCCTTTGGCCCAATCAATCATATCCGACAGCCTTTGGCCCAATCATCATATCCGACGGCCTTTGGCCCAATCAATTGTATCCGACGGCCTTTGGCCCAATCATGTGGCATAACAATTATTTGTCCATAATTTAAATTGACAAACTTAAGCAACTCAAATAGGAGTAAGTAATTGGGCAAATAGCATACTTCAAAATATCTTTACTAAGATATTACTCACAGTGTTCTGCCGGTGGATTCGTCCTTGTGCTCGACCCTACATAAATCATAACACATATTGGGTCACAAACAATTCAACCCGTTCTTAACTTATACACTCCTCTTAGGCCTCTTTCTTATTTTCTTAATCCATTCACAATGCTCAATGCATGCCTAAGAGTGCTTAGAAATGAAAGAGAACGGAAAATGAAGCACAAAACATTTTTTTAAAATTTCAGAAACAGGGCTTCCTGCTCGAGCGGACCACTTTGGTCTGCGAAAGTACTGGTTGCCTCATTTTTTGCGCTCGAGCGTGACTTCGGACGCTCGAGCTGAGAGTCAAAATATGTGACTGGGCGTTCGAGCGTGACTCTTACCGCTCAAGCGGACATCAATGTCTACAAAAGTTCTGGGAGCTAGAATTTCACGCTTGAGCGGCTCGTTCCTCGCTCGAGTGGACCCGACGAATTCTGGAATTTCCAGAATTATTCTAGAATTTCCAGAATTGTTCTTGAAGCTCAAACTTGATATTCAAAGGTTCAAAGTTCATGTCTTTGGTACAAAATCATGGAAAAACATTACATAGCATGAGGATATAGGTTATTTAAAACCAATTGTCCAAAACCATGATCTAAATCTCAAATTAATCAACATTTCTCTTGGTATGGCCAAAGCTCATGCATTCAAACTTCATATCTTCACAAATCTTTCATGCATGTCAATTATTGACTCCTATCCCACTTTAAATGGCATAAATAATGTTCAAAATCATAGAATCTATTAGAATTATGCATGCATGTATGATTTGGTTTGTATTCTTCATGTTCTCATAATCAACTTCTAATTATAACATGAATCTTTTGAATTGAGTTCCATACCATAGAAATTCTTACATGCATGTAGTATATGACTTTCAAATCAACATGAACCACATGTTTCATGCTTATATAAGCAAATTCATAATAATTCCTTACATGCTTGTATACATTGACTTCAAAATCATCAAACACAAATTAATTCTTGTTCTTGGGCACATATCAAGCTAGAATTCATGCAAGGATGAATTTAAACCCATGAAGTTGAGTTCAATTACTCACCTAGGAGCTCAAATTCTCCAATTCCTAGCTAGTTCTTGAGTCTAGTGTAGACCGCCCGAAACTCCGCTCCGCGTGCGAGGGCGCGAATTGTAGTTCTTAGCTACTACAGTTCGGACTTCTGTCATGGTTCTGAATCTAATCTCACAAAGTGCAATGTAAGACTGATAAATCACCAAAGAGTCCAAATCCGACAAATCATTTTGGAAAATCGATTTTAATCAAAAAGCGCCAAACATGGATTGCTTTGCCAGATTACAGAGTCGCCACCTAAATATTTTATTTTAGAAAATTTAGGAAACCCTGATTCGTGCCTAAGGCCACGTGTCCGTCATCACCAAAGTTGCCTCGGCTCGGAAACTTGGGTACGAGGGGAGAAGGTCATTAAGTGAGCACCCCCGCCCGCTCGATCAAAGATCGGCCTCTACTAAACATGATATGTTGTTTTGAAAACACATGTTTTCTTATTCCGGTTATTAGCTAGCTTACTATGTGATGTGCACAACATACAAGTATAGACTAAATCACTCGATTTGGAACAAAACATCTCATGTTTGTTTTTCGAAAATGGTTTGAAGTTGCTACCCTCAAGTAGGCTAAAATGCGGATTTCTCACCCTCAAGTGGGCTTAGAAAATAACATGATTTTGTCACCCTCAAGTGGGCTTAAAACGCACATTTGATGAATTGTCCTAATTCAAGCAATAAAGCCTTCATCCGCAGGCATTCATGCAATTAAACACTTAAGCAGTTAGCCTCATGGCAAGCATGCTATCATGGCAGTCACTTACACTCATGCAAGATGCTAAAGCATAAACACTTACAGTGTATTTTGAGCCAAAACAGAAGCTATGTTAGAAATCAATGCATGATCCTAGCTATGTTAAGATGCCTAATACAACACATGCAAAAATGCAACTAAAATAGGCTCGACTATCTAAGATGGCATATGAATGCAACACTTGATAACATGTATTCAAGTAAGTATTGAAACACAATGCAGTTTGAATGATGCGCCGAGCCCGGTGCATGCAATACGAATGAATGATGCACGCATGCAAAGCATAAGTATGCTAATCGAAATATGCCCTAAAACTAACCATCGAAAGCTGGTAAATAAAAGGGAGAAAGGCGTGGGGTTGGAAGACATTCACACACACACATACACACTTATTACAACATTTTCTCTCTCGAAGGAGGGTCCAAATAATAAGCTAACTAGCTACGCTAATTAAACTAATTATTACAAACCAAAATTAATTAACTATTCCTAGTTAACTAATTATTACGAACCGAATTGAATCAACTAACTATTCTAAGTTAATTAAGTACAAACCAAATTAATTAATTAAGCACTTAACTAATTAATTACAAAACAATTAAGCTACTGAACTAAGCAATTAAACAATTTAAACAAATGGCCTTGGGAAGTGAGGGGGATATGCATGCTCGGTCGATTTCGCTCGAAAATCCACTACCGTGCCTCATGATGCCTCTACTTGCACTCTTTTGTACCTTTGAAAATTATGCCAACTTTCAGAATGCTTCTGACCCATCTTAGGAACATGCTGAAGGATGGTCGGCTAAGAGGGATGGCCATCGGCTACTTCTGATAGCCGATTGGCAGACTTGGTGGTCGGTCGGCAGCTTTGATGGCCGGTCGGCCACTGCTTCCTGTAATTTCTCCTTTTGCTGCAGTAGAGCACAAACAGAGGCATGGTAGTGTATTTGCAAGGGAATGTGTGTGCAACTACACTCTTTATCATGCCTCAAGCTCAAAGGAGTGTAGTGCTCGACTCTCGAGCCGCCAATCACGCATCTCGATGCATGGTGGCCAAAGAGTCAAGTTTGCACAATGTTGATGAATGCACAAATAACACATAGGACTCGATGAACCTCCACCTTATCATACATGATCAAAGGTGTCGGTGACCTAAGGAATGAGGCACATTTCATCACTTTGAGTATGAAACGTCTCTCGTTCCTCGTGTTTGGATTAACATTCAATCCAAACACAATGCAATGCAACACACATGCAAATAACATGCTATCTATCAATGCTAGAGTGACACTCATGAGGTTCCATCATATAAGCAATGCATGCATGGTATGTTTGGAGGCTAAAGCATCAAAGCAAGTAAAGAGCATCATACAAGAGGCATGCAATACAATGTTCAATGGACTTAAACCAACCCCAAATAGACCTCATGCATGCCCAAACAATGGCCAAAATGTGCTGAAACTTAAACACAAGAAGCAAGAAAAGCATGCTCAACTCATGGCTAGCAAGCAAGGCACAACACTCAACTCTCAAATGCATTAAAAGAGTGATAAATATGAGAGTATAACAAGGCTATATGCACTGAAATTATGTGTTAAATGGTGCCATATCACTCAAACAACACAAGTATAGCACGCAAGAGGTCCTAAAGCACAAGGCTAGTAAAGAGCAATACACAAGGAGCATGCAATGCATATCACAACTAACTGTGGAGAAGTGGTTTGGAAATATTCTTCTAATCCTGGCTGACGCTTGTGATCCTTTTCTAGTCACCTGAAAAGGAATGAACACTCCGGTCGGGGGTGCCAGAATTAGCACTCCGACAGACAAGTTAGTCTTTGCACTCGGGGTTACTTGTATTCTAAGTTAAG